CCCCAGCTTGAGAAATGCTGAGCGTGTTCTTTCTTCCTTTTTGGTTTTCTGATTCCAAATCTTTGTACATTTTATTATAATATTTGGCTTTATCTTCTCGAGCTGATATTTGAAATTTTCTGTTCAGCTCTTGGACCTCCTCATTTCTTCCATTTGCTTTAGCATCGTTACGCTAGAGAGCAAGTTTCAGAGTCTCTTCTGACAGCCATTTTGACCTTTTCCTTCTTTCTTGTCTTCTTGATGACTGTTTGCTCTTTTCATGTATGATGTTCTTGATGTCATCCCACAACTCTTCTGGTCTTCTTTCTTTAGTGTTTAATGTATCAAATCTGTTCTTCAGATGATCTCTAAATTCAGGTGGGGTATATTCAAGGTCATATTTTGGCTCTCGTGGACTTGTTTTCATTTTCTTCAGTTTTAGTTTGAATTTGCATATCAGTAATTGATGGTCTGTTCCACAGTCTGCCCCTGGCCGTGTTTTCACTGATGTTACGGAGCTTTTCCATCTTCTCTTTCCCACAGATATAGTCATTTGATTTCTATGTGTTCCATCTGGCGAGGTCCGTGTGTCTGTTATGCTGTCTAAAGAAGGTATTTGAAATGAACAAATCATTGGTTTTGCAGAATTCTATTGTGCGTTCTCCAGCATCATTTCTATCACCAAGGCCATATTTTCCAACTACTGGTCCTTCCTCTTTGCTCCCAGCTTTTGCATTCCAATCACCATTAATGAGCAATGCATCTTGATTGAATGTTTGATCGATTAAGTTGGTAGAATTCTTCTATTTCATCCTCACTGGCTTTAGTGGTTGGTGCATAAATTGGAATACTAGTGGGATTAACTGGTATTAACAGTTAATGATAGAACATATCAAATAGGTACCACCTTGAAGGAATTCTTACTTGCCAAATCTGGGACAATTTGAGCATCAAAATAAATAATCATGGGTCAAAGCTCATTGAATACAATGTAAGAATCCATAAATCCATGTTAATAATAAACAAATAATAGCTAAATTAGGTTGAATGAAAAGTTCTTCTTTATAATAGAATGGTTCAAAGGGAATAATGAATTAAAATCATCACCATTTTACAATTATAATAGTATTCATACTTGTTTCTTTTCAAAATGTTTTGTCCTAGCTGAAATAACAGAAGAAGGGTATCTGATAAAGATACCATCCGTCCTAACATTAAATTACGGCTTTGGAGCATGTTGTGAAGACCTTCTCTAGAGATGCATTGTTATAATGCTCATTGTAACATGTACTCATAATTGACTCCGTTGACAATCATCATTGGATCCTAACTAGGGGGAGAACTTTTGATGAAAGATGGAATATTTACATTGTCCCAAGCACCTTCATACTGGTTGCATGTTAGAGAAAACAAGTTTACAATGAAGCAGCCTAGTGAGTGCCGCTATAACCAGTTAGTCAAAGTTGCCATCACCAGTGACATCATGTGCCTCTTAATATGATGCACTGGGACGGACCCGGTATTGTTTATATAGTACACCTGCCAAAAAATGCATAGCCTGAATCTGATTATGAGAAGCAGGCACCCCCAAATTAAGGTTCATTCTGCAAAATAAACGATGACATGTACTCCTCAATCGTCTCAATACCATGGAAGATAAAAGCTGAGGAACCAGTCTATATTACAGGAGTCCAGAGTGACATGAAAATTAAATGCACTGTGGGGTCTGGGGAAAAATGCTAATAAGTACATCGGGGGACAATTAGAGAAACTTGAATGATGTCTAGTGATTACAAGTTAGAATTACATCAATGCCCTTGTTGTGTCAATGAGTGTTCTTGCTCATGTGAGTTGAACATGATGTCTGGAAGTTCTCAGGTGCCTGAGTAACACACACACAGACTCCTAAAGACAAAAAGTTGGTGAATGCAGCAAAAGGTTAGTAGTCGGTGAATCTTGGCCAAGGATTTACAGGAGGCCTTTGTAGTGTTCTTGGAATGTTTAAATTGAGAATACTTTGACATAAAAAATTAAACCTTTTCTCTTAAAATGCGAATTGTAAGCACTTACTGAATCCACTAAATTTTTACAGTAAGTGGTCAGGCCTATCTGTGATCTTGTATTTTAAAAAACAGAATAAAAAATATTTTGCAGTAACCTCTTCACTCCATGCTCCCTTAAAAGAAAATGTTTTCAACAAGGGCTTGGTTGGATTCAAGCTAGTGACAGAAAGGAATAATCCTGTGTACAGTTTATACGGTTTTTATATCAGTTCATTTTCTAAAACATATGAAGGATGCTAGTCTGGACTATCTAGCGAGTAAGGATTATTGCTGTAAATTGAGTCACCAGGGAAGTTTGTACTTGCTGCAGTACAGTCTGGCCAGTCTTTTCCCAAGTTGCCCTTCCAAAATTAGCTGATTCCCAGGCAACTGCTTTTGTCTGACTTATTGTCCAATGGGACTCCTTTTCCTCCCTCCTTCTTCCATGCGCTCACCACCACCATGACACGGAATGCGAACACAGCTCCTGTATGTTCAGCACCTACTGTGCGCCTGGCTTTATGTTGGTGAATGAGTCTTGGGTGGACAAAGGCTACGCTTTCATGGAGCACACACTTAATGCACTTTAATTGTATTTTATTGTATACATTTGGGAGGTATTCTTAAGATTTTTGTAAATTATTCTGATTTTGTCTAAAAACTCTTTACAGTACTTACAGACCGTCAGTATTTGGAGAAAACTCCACTGTGTGCCATTTTGAAACAAAAAGCGCCTCAACAGTATCGCATCCGAGCAAAACTAAGGTCATATAAACCCAGGAGACTCTTTGAATCAGTCAAACTTTATTGTCCTAAATGTTTTACACTGTAAGTATTTTTTGTAATAGGACAGAAGTTTTCATTTCAAATTATTTGCATTTGTGCATGTACTGTGGTGTAGCATCGAGTCGGTTATGACGCACAGCGACCCCATATGACAGAATAGATCTGCCCTGCCCCATTGCATTTCCTAAGTTGTAATGTTGATGGGAACAGGTCACTAGGTCTGTTCTTCTGTGGAGCCACTGGTCAGCAGCCAAATGTTGGACCTTTGCATCACTAGGGCTTCTCATGTTTATATGTGGTTTCGAGTCAGCTCCAACTCATAATGACCCAGTTTAGGGATTTCAAGGAGCAGCTGGTGGCTTTGAACTGCTGACTTTTTGGTTAGCTAGTATGCTTATCCTATAGCGACGAATCGGTTTGCTAACCTCAGGGTCAGCAGTTCGAAATTATCAGCTGTTCTGCGGGAGAAAGATGAGGTTTTCTGCTCCTGTAAAGATATACAGCCTCAGAAACCCTGTACAGGGTCCCTGTGTGTCAGAACTGACTCCACGGCATATAACAACAACAAATAGCACCACACCAGGACTCCCATATATATGTTCACATATGTTATTTTAAGTAAATCTTGGCAATGAGTAAATTGTGATTTTGTGTACTTCAGTTTCAAAGAATGATAAGGATTTTGAAGGGAAAATAGGACATTTTTCAGAGAGTAAATTCTTTTGACTTTTCCTAGTAATTCTAAGTGAAATGGGTGGGTGTTCCATGCATGTCTGAAACTGAGCCTACCATCTCTGGTACATGCACATAAAGAATGAACGATACGTAACGAAAATATTCAGATGCCCATTTGTCACAAAAATATTTTCTTAACTGTAAAGTTTTGCTAAAATTCCTAGATAGAAAGGATTCTGCTTAGTTGAATTTTTAATTGATACCAACCAGAAAGCCCTGTTGAAAATATTTCTATACTGCTTAGTAACTGTTATTGTTATATGCAGACAACATGGTCCAACCATAGTGACCCTTTATAATAGAGCTTTTGACACTACCATATACTAGATTTTATTTCCCATTTCTTTGGCAACTGAGAATTTTTCAGGGCCTCAAGGTCTTATTCCAAGCATCAAGTATTGTATAAGAGTACCGGTCAGTGTTTTTAGAATGCTGTTGTGTGCCATCGAGAAGGCGTCTCAGTAGTAGCTAGATAATTTGTTAGCTCAGAATTCTTACACTTACCATGGTTGTTTTTCATTATTTCATATAAATTATCTTAGGCAAGAAGTTCCACATGATGGAGATTTGGATATAATTTTGCAAGAGGGTGCAGCTAAAACTCCAGATACCAAACTACAGAATACATCATTATATGATTCCAACATGTGGACCACTGAGGACCAGGGAGGTCGGAAAATAGCTCTTCACTTTGTGAAAAACCATGGTATTCTCCCACTTCCAAATGAATGCGTAATTTTCATAGAAGGTAAGAATATTTTAATTTTATTTCTTTAGAGTACTATTTTTGCCCTTTCTTTATTCTGTATTATATTATATTGTATTCTATTGTAAAGTATACCTTACAGGCGGCCTAGTGCATTTAACTTCATAGCAGGGAGTACATTATTTAAAAGTTAAATTCAAATATGTATAAGGGGGCTTCAAAATGTTCATAGAAAAATTTCATTATATTTTAATATCACTTTCCTGCACATTTTTTGAAAGTCCTTTGTGTGTATTTTTAAATTTAAGAAATTATAAGATAACAAGCATTTGCATATGTCCATCTTGTGTGTCCCAAGCCACTCTGCAAGAGAAAGATGAGACTGTGCTCCCACAAAGATTTACAGCCCCAGAAACCCTGTACAGGGCTGGGATTAGTCAGAACCAACTCAGTGGCACCTAATGATGATGACAGATTTTACATGTAATCTTGTCAGATCCAAGTTGCTTGTAAGCTGAGTAATAATGAAGTAGCTGCTTCCTTATGGGTGTTGCTCCTAACTTGGCCTCTGGATGTCACTGTGGTTTCATAAAAAGAGGAGGTAAGCCTCCAGTGCTATCTAAATCCATAAAAGGGCTTGTTGAAACAAGGGAAGCTAACTTGACAAGTTTTAAAAGAATTATATTTTGAATTGCATTTTCTTCCCATATTCATCTATTATTTATCAAATGTACATTTGATACGTTTATTTATCGGTGCCAAATTGTGATGTTTCATTATTTTTTAAAAATTTTTCTCCAGCATAACTATGTTACAAAAGAGTAAAGTCTTTCTTTATATTCTAGAAATATTTGCTTTCAGTTTATAAATATACTAAGATTAACCTTATTATAAGATATTATTATCATTTTTATTGCTAGAATTTTCCTATTTATAAAAGTAATAATCACTTTTAAAGTTTTGAAGCCATTTGTGCACATGAACACACATGCATCTAAACGTTCTATCATTTTCTTGAGCATAACTCTGTTTTAATACAGTTACTGTGTGTCAGAAATTATTCTGATTTCTATGTATTAATTCATTTAAATATCACAATAATCCTTTGTTGTGTTTTATAGATGAGAAAACTGAGGCATGTTGTTCAATGTCATCAAGTTGGTTTTGACTCATAGTGACCCTATATAGGGTTTCCAAGGAGCAGCCGGTGGATTTGAAGTGCTGACCTTTTGATTTGCCATTCTGTGCTGATCCTACAGTGCCATAGATGAGAAAACTGAGATACAGTGAAATTAAATATTGTGCCCAATAAGATAATAATCGGTAGAAGTGAATTAGTTCCTGCTTTTTGACATATCACAATTCTGTGATAAACTTTAGTTCCCTTCATTCACGTATAATTTGGGTCCTAAGGATTGACTGAAGTCTGTCCAGCTAATTGCTAGTCAAGCATATCCCGTGGGCTTGTGCTGCAGTATCTAGGAGATAGCTTTTCCTCTTTCCTCAGGAGTATTTATTAGCATGTGTAAACTAGGCCACTTGATGAGTGAAATGTGGTCTCTTAATTCACTGGTAATATTTTACCCTGTCTCTTCTAGGATTCAAGGAGCTCTGGTAGTGTAGTGGTTATGAATTGGGCTGCAAACCACAAGGTCAGCAGTTCAAAACTACCACCTGTTCCGCAGGAAAAACATGAGGCTTTCTGCTCCCGTAAAGATTTACAGCCTCGGAAACCCTGTACAGGGTCGCTATGAGTCGGAACTGACTCCACGGCACATAACAACAACTTTTAGGATTCTGTTCTAAAGCCAAGCTGGCCTTGAAGGTCCAAAGGAGGCTTGAGTATAGAAGCTTCCCCTTAGCTTGTCTTTAATTTCTACTCACCCGACAAACTGCAGTCTCATCTGCTATTCTTCGGTTCCCATTCTGCCCCTCCAACGTATAGACCACTCTGTGCCCCCCTTTGCCATACCAGTGCTCTTCTCACCTGAACGATGCCTCTCCACTGTTGCCTCAAAAATGAGTTCAGTAATTACCTTAATTCAGTAATTCATGGTGAATTTTTCATGAACATCTGCATGCACTAGTCACGCTTCTGGTTCATAGGGCAGAAGAGTATGCGGTTCTCCTTGTTGTGTGCTTCCCTTACACACCAGATCTGCTTCCAGTAGAGCACTTTTCTCCTTGTATTGCACAAGTGTGCTTTTCTGTTTATACTTTGTTTCCCTGTTACACCGTGAGCTCCCTAAGGATGGGGTATATGTTTATTTTAGTCCAGGTATCTGAAGCTGTAGGATAAGTACAGGGTTGCTAACCATAAGATTGGTCATTCAAACCCACTAGGCACTCCTTGGAAACCCTGTACAGAGTCACTGAGTCAGCACCAACTTGATAGCACTTAACAGTTTTCAGTATGTAGCGTAGTCTAGCTGTAATAGCATCCAGAGCAATAGCACTTTACCTTACAGAATTGTTAGGAGAAGTTCACCGTATAAGCCCTTTGAAAGTGAAGGCTTATATTCTAATGTAAGCTGTTTTATTGTATCATATTTTTGAATAGTATAAGCTGGGCCAGAGGTTCGTTCATTGGATTGTTTCGTCTATTTACATTTAACGTAATTAATAAGGTAGAGTTTGTAGCTGCCATTTTGCTGTATGCTTTCTAGATGTCTTTGCCCTTTTTAGTTTCTCTATTCTGTCCTTACTGCTTTTTTTGTGTTAAATCTTTTCTAGAATAACATTTTAATTTCCTTCATTTTTCCTTTGTTCCTGTTTTAAGTTATTTTCATAGTTGTTGCCCTGGGAATTACAATTAACATCTTATTTTACAAATAACCAAGTTCAGATTAATGCCATTTTAACTTTAATAGTATATAATATCTTTGCTCAGGTACACCTTGTGGAATAGTGAATTACTTAATGTTATTCTTCTAGCCATAATCTTTTTAAGTCCCACAATTGACTTGGTGGGGCCATGCAAATTGGCTGCATTTCTTTTCCTGGGTTTGAGAATATTTGGAAAGAAGCTGATAGGATTAAATGTTTTAGTTGTGAGTGGTTGTTAACAGTGTTAAAATTGTTTTGTTGGAACTCTAAATGGGTATTGGTTGATTTTTTTTTCATCTTGTTGAGTATAAAATGAGCCATCTTAGAAGCAGGAATGGGCTAGCTCACTACTATCGACAAAGAGCCAGGAGTGGTGTGTATCTTTTAGGCCCTGAGATCCCTGCACATGGAACCTCCTCATTCCAGGAAACAGAGTTCTGTGAACCAGAGATATGGCAGCGAAGCAGTGGCAGCAGAGACAGCCCCACCAAGTGCTCGAGAAAGAGCAGTGGGCTTCCCAGCCCAAGGAGCAAGAAGAGGCCAGTGCCTTTAGGCAGGATGCTCAGTTGCAGAGTAGGAACACCCCTGAGAGGCACTTAATCGGGGTGCTAGGTTTGCTAGCCCACAGACTTACTGCCAAGCGTCTTCAGGTGGGACGTAGGGTGCAGTGGTGTGCCCTTTGGTCATTTACTGGCAATGCTATAAGGACTCTGTACCATTTATGCAATCAGGGACAAGGCCAAAGCCATGTGACTGAGTGACCACTAACTCGAAAGGTGTGTAGACAGACATGGCTGAGAAGAGGCTTTGCTGACTGGAAGAACTGTCTACTGAGCACTTCTAATTTCTGAATGGTAGCCTGTGAACTTCCCTTACAGACCCCCATCATCGTGAGTTTAGTGTGTGAGTTCTGTGTCGCCATTGCACTAAATTGTCGAACCCAGTAGAGAAGTAGAGAGTGCTTTGGGAGGGACGATTGGTGTCAGAATTAATAAGGAAGGGTGGAGGGTGGAGGCATGTTTGATTCTTGTCCCATAGGAATCAGCCTTGGGCTCATGAAGAGTTTGATTCTCCGTCCCCCTTGTGAAGTCAAGAGGAAGTCAGACATGGCCCACATACCATTTCTGTATACCTCCTTTCCATCCTCTGCCTTTCATTAGACCATGAAAATTATAACTCTATGTAAAAGTCCATCAATAGGTTTACGTAATTTGCCTTATGCCGTTATTTCATACTTTGACTCTCAACTGTATACTTATTTGATTTTTTGAAACAAAATATTTCTGGATAAAAGGGAAATTTGTAGAAATTAAGATTGTTAGAATTTCACAAGTGTTGTGTTTTTTCAACATTCAGCATTGTTATACAATGGTATATATTTAATCAACCTGGATGGCCCTAAATTTGCACACTTTTCACTTAATTTTCTTTTCTTAATTTAAAAATTTTTTCTTAATACTTTTTCTTAGTTTCCCGTCAGTCCCTTTGGTCTTTGACAGCCCATGGCTTACTTAGTTAGACCTGTCATTTTTTCTGTGTTGTACTCATGGTACTTGAAGAGTTTGTTTATCGTCTTTCAACAGGAGGTGTACTCAGTGAAATCTGTGAACTCTCGAACAAGTTTCATGGTGTAATTCCCGTGCGATCTGGCATTGAAGACCTGGAACTTGACCTCTCAGCGCCATTTCTCTTCCAAGAGAAGACACATCACTATGGGTATGTTTTACATTCTGGAAATTTACAGAATTAAAAACTGTTTAAGGATGATTTTTATTTTTATTATTTAGTTGGGATATATTCCGTGCCTGCTTATTGAATACCAGCTTATATGTAACGTTGTCGTTAAGGGGCATCCAGTCAGTTCAGACTCATAGTAACGTTGTATAGAGTTTCTGAGGAGCAGCTGGTGAGTTTGAACCGCTGACCTTCTGGTTAGCAAGTGTTTATCCTACAGAGCCTCATAGGTTCTTTTAATTAGCATGTACATTGAATGAGTACATACTAGTGAGCTAGGTACCAGACTACCAAATCCTTGTTCCTCGGCCTGAGAGTCCTGCTCATTCGTTTCCTTTTATAGGAATTTAGATGCCAGGTAAGAGAAAGGTGCAGAGCTCTGCATCTAGTAAAAGTGAAATAATTGAGTTCCAGAATTTCTGAGCCCTTTAGTTACAAATTTGTTGCTACTAGTAAATGGAAGATAAGAACATATTAGGAGCTAGAAACAGATTTCTTGATGTGGAAGAGTTGGGTGAAAATAAATTCTCAACAATCACCCTGGGTATGCTCTGCTTTGAGAAACCTTGGCTTTAAGAATGCATCTCTCCCTTCCTACTCCCAGCTGGTAGGAGTTATTGTTAGTGTTGAGTTGGCTGTGACAAAATAACAAATTCATTCATGGCACAGCACAGCTTTGCCAGGTGCTACCCCGTCTCCGTGACTGTAGCACTGTATCACATGAGACTCTCTTCCGATCCACAGGGCTTTCCCGAGTCCATTTCAGAAGCAGGTCACCAGGTCTTTCTTTCTAGTCTGTCCTGGCCTGGAAGCTCCACTGAACCTGTGTACGAGTAAACCTGCTGACATGTGAATGCTGACGGCACAGCTTCTAGCATTGTAGCAACACATGAGCTCCCACATTCCCACAACTTGACAGATGGGTGATGGTTACAGCTCATGGTTGTAATATGTTTATCTTGATTACAGTTGAAAACTTTACATGCTGTAATCTTACCTCTGAGATTGGGACTTACATAGTTATTGGCGGTGTTGGGGTGGTGATGTGCCATGCAGTGAATTCTGACTCTTAGCAACCCTGGGTAGGGTTTCTGAGACTAAAGCTTTACAGAAACCTCATCTTTCCACTGCGCATGGCTGATAGTTTCTAACTGATGACCTTGAAGTTAACAGCCTAACTCGTAGCCACTACTCTATCAGAGCTCCTATAGTCATTGGTAAGTGTACATAAATTGCAGTTCTGACTCATAGTAGCCTAGTCTAGGGTTTCCAAGGAGCAGCTGGAACTGTTTGAACCGCCGACCTTATGGTTCAAACTAACTTTGCCGTCTAGTGTCTATCCTACAGCACCACACAGGACTCTGATACATACATACTTAAGCAGAAATTAATTACTTGTAGTTAAAATGTTTTATGTAAGTAAAGTCAAATAGTTATACTAAATTCTCTATAATTTTGGTATATTGGGTAAGTTTTTATAGATCTCTATTATAAATGATAGCTCTAGTACAGGGAACTTCAGAATGTTCATGGGAAAATTCCATTTTCTTTTCACTCAGTTTCTCCACAAACTTTTTAAAGCCCCTTTTTACTATTGTTGTCAAGCGCTGCCAAGTCGGTTCCTAATCATAGTGACCCTGTATAAGGTTTCCAAGGAGCAGCTGGTGGATTTGAACCAACAACCCTGCAATTGGTAGTGCAGTGCTTATTCTATAGCACCACACCAGGGGTTCCCTTCCTTATTAGGCAACAGAAACTACTAACCTCTGAATGGGTGTTTACTAAACAGAACAAGTACCCCAAATCTTGCTAAGATTGTTTTAGTCAACAAGATTTTCTCGTGTTTAGTTGAGATTTTGGCTGATAAATACCACTCAGATATCAAATTATCTCCTGTAAATTCATTTTACCAAAACAAGCTCCTTAGTCTCAGCTTAGTTTTGTTCATTCTGCTAGCACAGGCTATTTTTGCATTGCTGCTCCATACGAGAAGCCTGGACTGCAAACCACAGGTTCCTCCCAAAGGTTTCATGCCTCAGAAGTCCTGCAAGGGTCGAGAATGAGTTCAGACCCACTTGACAGCACTTGGCAACAACAATACAGAAATTCTGTGCCACCATGGGCTACAAGGCAGCAGTTCAAATCCACCAGCTGCCTCTTAGGGAGAAAGATGAGACTCTGCTTTTGAGAAGATGTACAGTCTCAGATGATAGTGTCACTGTGAGTCGGAATTGACCTGATGGCTGTGGTTATCTAGAACGCTTACTTTCTGGGAAGTCTGTATTAGACGGGTACAATAAAACGTAAGCGGTGCAACACTGTTGTTAAATACCTTTTTAAACTCTGCATACTTGAACAGCAAAAATAAGTAATGATAATTAATAATAAATGAATTACAGTAAATTACTTGTTAAGTACTCATAAGTTTCTTTCTTTTATTAATTGCAGATGTAAACAGTGTTCCAGTTTGAGGCCAATACAAAATCTAAATTCCCTGGTTGATAAAATACCATGGACTCCCTCTTCTGTGGCAGAAGGTTATCAGCGTTTTCATATCCTACAATGTTAACTGTATGTCATCTCACTGATTAATTAATGAGAGGGCTTCAAAGAGATTGTTGAAAATGTCATTATGTTAAAAAACTCCATTTTCCATGAGCTTTTGGAAGCCCTCTGTTACTATTGTTAAGCACTGTTGAATCAGTTCTGACCCATAGCGACCCTGTGTACAACAGAACCAAACAGTGTCCAGTCCTATGTAGCCTCAAAGTTGTTATGCTTGAGCCCATTCTTGCTGCTACCATGTCAGTCCATCTTGTTAGGGCTCTTCCTCTTTTTTGCTGAACCTCCACTTAACCAAGCAGGCTATCCTTCTGCAGAGACTGGTCCCTCCTGATGAAATGTCCTAAGTATGAAAGATGAAGTCTCACCATCCTCACTTCCAGGACGCATTCTGGCTGTAGTTCTTCCAAGACACATATGTTACTTCTTCTGAAACTTCATGGTACTTTCAGTATTCTTTGCCAACACAATAATTCAAACACATCGATTCTTTTTTGGTCTTCGTTATTACTGTCCAGCTTTCACGTGAATAAGAGGCGATTGAAAGTACCATGGCTTGGGTCAGGCGCACCTTAGTCCTCAGTGACATCTTTGCTCTTTAAACATTTTGAAAAGAGGTATTTTGTTGAAGCTGCCTAGTATATTTCAGTATTTGTGAGTATGGTAAACCAGAGCAAGGGCTGAGCTAAACTTTAGCTTCCCTTGTTCAAAACCATTCACTGCTATGATAATAAAAGTGTAGAATACATGTGTAAAATACTTGAAAACTGACTTTCAAACATCTGCTAGTATTTTTAATCATAACTCACATTTTAGTATTTAATTATTTATTTTAGCATTGATCATATATTTCTTAAAAATGTTTCCACTTCATTATGTCTTGGGATTAAAAAGTATTTTTGAGAACTTGATTCCAGATTTGCACCTGAACTTTCAGCTTTCACTTGTACAATAAAAATCTTTTCTATCCATTCTTTACTGTGGTCACCCTGCCTTCGCTTAAACTGCTTCAGCGACAGCTGCTGCTGTTTGCTGTCGACTTGACTCCACCACAGGGTGACCTGTAGGACAGAGGGTCTCCTAGGCTGTCACTGGCACGGGAGCAGAGGACCAGTGGCTGGAGATTGAACCCCGTGTACTCTGTGCAGCACTTAGCCGCCATCAGGGCTCTTTTCCAGCAACAGGGGTCTTGAGCGGTCAGGGACCAGGTGCTTCTTCGTAGGAATCTAACTCTCCCTGCCCACATTCTGTCTATAAAAATCCCTCAGCATGTCTGTTCCTTGTAGGGTAAGCACTGGCCTGCTAACCGCAAAGTCGACAGTTGAAACCCTCCAGCCGCTCCTCAGGAGAATGAGGCGGCTTTTCTGGTCCCATAAATGTTGTTTATTGGTCCAGTGGTGAGGATTTTTGTTTTCTTGACGTTGAGATGTAATCCATACTGAAGGCTGTGCTCTTTGATCTTCATCAGTAAATATTTTAAGTCCTCTTCACTTTCAGCAAGCAAGGTTGTATCATCTGCATATGAAGCTCCCTCAGGGTCTCACTGAGTCAGACTCAGTTCCACGGCAGTGGTGTGGGCTAAGGTACACGGGCTGCGCATTCCCAGCCACCTCTCAGGCCTCCCTGGGTCTTTGCTCCTGGCAGGCGCCATCGCTGCTCCCTTTGGCCTATCCCCACACTAACTACTTTGTTTCTTCCCCTCGGGAAACATCCGACTTTACCACTGCTTTTCTCACAGTCTGCCGTTCCAAGCTGGATGGATATAGGGCTTCAGATGTCGTTTGGCCAAATTCAAATACATTGTTATTTAGTGCTGTACTGTTGGTTCTGACTCATAGTGATCCTGTATAGGGTTTCTGAGGAGTGACTGATGGATTTGAACCACCAACCTTGTAGTTCAAGCCAACCTTGCAGTCCAGTCCTTATCCTCCAGCACCACACCAGGACTCCATTCATATATAGTGAACACCATTAACCATCATTTCCCTAAAATTGGACACTTGTGTCTATAACAGCCCACTGCCTTCCAGTCATTTCCGACTCTCAGCAACCATATTGTTACTGTTGTTGTTGTTAAATGCCATAGAGTCGGTTCTGACCCATGGCGACCCTGTATAGGGTTTCTGAAGAGCAGCTGATAGGTTTGAACTGTCGACCTTGCAGTTTAAACCGACTTTGCGGTCCAGTGCATTATCCTGCAGCGTCACACTGCTCCCTTGGCTTCCCGAGACTGGAAATCTTTAAGGGAGCAGGCTACCTCATATCTTCCTTGCAGAGGCCTTTCCATTAGCAGCCCAAAACTTAACCCACTGTGCCCCTGAAGCCCCTGACTGCTGCTGCTACAAGGCTGAAATCTGTTACAATAGTGTCTGTTCGTATAGTTAGCAGTATCGTATAGAAAGAAAAAATAAATCTCATGCTTTGCTTGTGATCCAGTGATATTCTTCCACATTACTTTGAGTGTTCATCTTATCTATGAATTCTTATGTGACTCAGGATCTCTTTCATTTCTTTCTTTCTAATATTACCAGATTTATGAAATCCTGGATTCTGACATTCTTATCCATTCAACCAGAAGATACCTCTTAAAAATAAGTGATCGCCCATGCTTATAGTTTGAACAGTAGACATGTTATAAAAATCAAATATTAAAACACATGCTACTTTTAGAACAGTCTGATATTTTAACTTTGTTTTTCACAAGACTAGTATGTAATAGCCACCACTCATATGTCAGTTTGTCATACTCTGGTGACATCCTGGAAGCTCTGCCACCTGTATTGTAAATAGTGGCAGATCATCCATGGTGGACAGGTTTCAGCAGAGCTTCTGGATTACAACAGAGTAGGAAGCAGGAGAGATCGTCTACTTCTGAATATTTAGTCACTGAAAACCTTATGGATAGCAGTGGAACACTGTCAGCATCAGAATATTGAATACTTAAACATGTTGAAGAGCACCAGAATATTGTCAGATATAGTGCCAGAAGATGAGGCACTCAAAATATAACTGGGGAAGAGCTGCTTCCTCAAAGTAGATAGAGCTGACCGTGATGGCATGAATGGAGTCAAGCCTTTGGGACCATCATTTGCTGATAAGACACAACTCTCAATGAGGAGACACAGCTAAACATCCATTAATAATCAGAACATGGAATGTATGAAGTGTGAATCTAAGTGAAAATTGTAAATTGTCAAGTGAAAAGCATATATATCGATATACTAGACATTAGTGAGATGAAATAAACTAGTGTTGGCCATTTTGAATCTGAAAGTCACATGATTTACTGTGCTGGGAATGACAAACTGAACAGGAATGACATCGCCTTCATCATCAAAAAGAACATTTAAAAATTTAACTTGAAGTAAAACACTGTATGGGATAGGATAATAATCATACACCTACAAGGAAGGCCAGTTAATACTATTAATTCAAATTTAGGCACTAACCACTAAAACCAATGATGATTAAATTAAAGAATTCTACCAACTTCTTTAGTCTGAAATTGGTCAAGCATGCTGTCAAGATGTATCGATAATTCTTGGTGATTGGAATGCAAAGATTGGAAACAGAGGAAGGATCAGTAGATGGAAAATATATGGCATTGGTGATAGAAATGATGCTGGAGATTGCATGCTAGAATTTTATAAGACCAATGACTTGTTCACTTTAAATTAAACAACTTAAAAGACAGCTATACACACAGACTTCACCAGATGAAGACACAAAAAATAAAACTGACTGCATCTGTGGAAAGAGAAGGTGGAAAAGCTCTATATCATCAACTAAAATAAGGCAAGGGCAGACTGTTGAATAGATCATCAATTGCTCATATGCAAGTTAAGGCTGAAACTGAAGAATATTTTTTAAAGTACACGAGAGCCAAAATATGACCTTGAACATCTCCCAACTGAATTTAGAGATCATCTAAAGAATAGATTTGATGCATTAGACACTAAAGACTGAATATCAGAAGAGTTTCGGGATGACAACAAGAACATCATACAAGAAGAAAGCAAAAGGTTATTCAGAAGAATATAAAGAAAATACCAAAATGGATGTCAGAAGACACTCTCAAACTTGCTCTCTAGCATAGAGATGTTAAATCAAATGGAAGAAATGAGGAGGTACAATAGCTGAACAGACAGTTTCAAAGGTCAGCTCGGGAAGCCCAAGTCAAATATTATAATGAAATGTGCAAAGACCTAGAGTTGGAAAACCAAAAGGGAAAAACCACACTCAGCATTTCTCAAGCTATGGGAACTAAAGAAAAAAATTCAGGCCTCAACTTTCAATATTGAAGGATTCTCTGGGCAAAATATTAAATAATGCGGAAAGAATCAAAAGAAGATAAAAGGAATGCACGGAGTCATTGAACCAAAAATAAATGATTGATGTGCAGCCATTTAAAGAGGTAGCATATGATCAAGAGCTAATGAATGATACTGAGGGAAGAAGGCTAAGGTGCATTGAAAGCATTGGCAGAGAACAAGGCTCTGGGAACAAATGGAATACAAATTGAAATCTTCCAACAGACTGATTTGGCACTGGAGGCACTTACTCATCTTTGCCAAGAAATTTAGAAGACAGCTACCTAGAAACCTGATTGGAAGAGACCCATATATGTGCCCATTCCAAAGAGAGGAGACCCAACGAAATAGAGAAATTATCAGACAGTATCGTTAATATTGTATGCAAGTAAAATTTTGTTAAAGATAATTTAAAACGGCTGCAACAGTACTTTGAGAACTGTCAGAGGGTCAAGCTGGATTCAAACAAGAGCATGAAACCAGGGATATTGTCGCTGACCTCAGATGGAACTTGGCTGAAAGCAGAGAATACCAGAAATGTGTTTACCTGTGTTTCATTGACTAGCAAAGCTTTCGATTATGTGGCTCATGCCAAGCTATGGACAACATTGCGGAGAATGAGTTTTATGGAACACTTAACTGTGCTCATGAGAAACCTGCACATAAACTAAGAGGCAGTCGTTCTAATAGAACAAAGGAGCACTGAAAAATTTTAAATCAGGAAAGGTGTGTACCAGGGTTGTATTCTTTCACTGTATTTATTCAGTCTGCATGCTTAGCAAATAATTCAAGACGCTGGATTATATGAAGAAGAAAGTGACATCAGGATTGGAAGAAGATTCACTTAACAACCTACAATATGCCGATGATAAAAACTTGGTTGCTGAAAGCGAAGAAAACTTAAAATATGTACTGATGACGATCAAAGTCCACAGCCTTGAGTATGAGTTGCACCTCAATGTAAAGAAAAAAAATCCTCACCACTTACACCAATATATAACATCAAGGTAAATGGAGAAAAGATTGAAGTTGTCAGAGACTTCATTTTGCTTGATTAACAACTATCAACACTCATGGAAGCAGCAGTTAAGAAATAAAATGGCGTGTTTTGCAATAGGCAAATCTGCTGTACAAGACTTCTTTAACGTGTGCAAGAACAAAGATGTCAGTTTAAGGATTAAGGTGCACCTGATCCCAAGCCCTCATAGTTTCTGTCACCACATATACATGCAAAAGTAGGACAGTGAATACAGAAAACCATAGAAGGATGGATGTATTTGAGCTATGGTGTTTGAGGAGAATATTAAAAGTACCATGGACTGCCAAAAGAACAAACCAATCTGTGTTGGAAGAAGTACAGCCAGAGTGCTCCTTGGAAGCCAGGATGACCAGACTTTGTCTCTCATACTTCAGATGTATTATCAGGAGGGACCAGTCCCTGGAGAAGGACATCATGTTTGGTAAAGTGGAGGGTCAGAGAAAAAGAGAAAGACCCGCAGTGAGATGGATTGGCACAGTGGTAGCAGCATTGGGATCAGACATAACGATCAGGACTGGGCAGTGTTTTGTTTTAGTTTGCATAAGGTCACTATGGATTGGTACTGACTCAGTGGCACTTAACAATAACACAACAAAAGTATGTAATAAATTATATTTCATGAGCCAGTTTTTATAATTTATCCATAATATACCATGGTATCATTTCCTTTTAAAGATACATGACTATCCATTCTAAAACGATGCAGTTGCTTATATTACGAATACTTGCCATTGTGTAGGTAGAATGCAGTGTTACAAAATGAACCTGAAAATTGAGTTTAATATGTTGGTATTATGTGTAAGTTTTTCTTTAGCTCATGATTTAATTTAGCAATCAAAAGTAATCAGTACAAACTATCATAAAACAAGTTTTAGTTTACCTTCATTGTAAGAAATACAGACTTGTACAGTTTCCTCTCTTTCCTTCACTAGTACTGGGCATTGTACCCCTCCAGTATGTGTTTGTTATGACATTTACTCTTGATGATGGAACAGGAGTTCTGGAAGCTTACCTTATGGATTCTGTAAGTAATAGAAATAGTAAGTGCAAAAATACTATGACACTAAAGCAGTCAGCCCTCTCACATCGCTCTGCCCAGCTGGGTTCAGTAATTCATTTTAGTGGCCACAGAGAATTCGGACACCATAATAGAGCTATGGGTTTATTTACGTATTTCCAGTTTATTTGCATATTTGCAGTTTAGGGTCAGGGCAGCGCTCTTGCAGTCAAGACAGCCTTGCCTCTACCATGCTATAGGCAGGCCCCTCTCTGCACTGGCAAAGCCACCGAGCTCCTTTAGGGCTTCTGGTAATGGCCCACAAGGCCCACCTCTCCACTGGGAGATGCAGCCTGGAGCCCCCCGGCTCTAGCTCCCCCAGTAAATGTCTGGAGACATGCCACTCTGCAAGTCAGCCTTCTCCCCAAAGTGTCTCAGCAGTACTTGCTCATCGGGCAAGGACGCGCACCATTCAGCCTCGGGCTCTGGCTCTTAGCTTCTGCTGCTGCCGATGCACCTGTTCAGGTGTCGGTGTCGCAGCTTTGTGCTCGAGTCAAAGAGGTCCAGTGTGCCGGCACTTCCAGGTCCATAGGACGTGCTCTTCTTTGATGATACGGAGTCCCCATTCCCCCCTGCTTCTGAGATGGCTCGTTTTGTACATGTTAGAGTTCCAGGTTTTACAATCACTGGTAACCACTCACAACTGAGTCGAAGCGTCCTGTCAGCATCTTCTCCCATCCTTCCAGCCAAAAGATAGTAAATAATTCACTGACCCACAGTAAGGATTGTTAAAAATAATGCATCCTATTTTAATGTTTGGGCCTTTATTCATGGGGAACGTGGTGACTTTGTAGAATAAACACTGGACTGCTGATCACAAGGTTGGAGCACACCAGCCACTCTGCAAAAGAAAGATGAGACTTTATGCTTCCACAGAGCATTTACAGCTTGCAAACCCAATACAGAATCACTGTGAGTCAGAACTGACTAGATACCATTTAGCAAAAACAACTTTATTCATATTGTTCCCAAAAAGATTTAAGGCAACTTAAATAAGTAATGTAACATCTCTATGTTTTGATTTCACATTTTAAAATTTAAAATTGAATAATGAATAGTTGAACAATGTGTATTTGAGGATAGTCATTCTCCATGCTGTGCAGAAATTCCATTTCAGAGTCCAGAGACACAGCCATACCCCTATGCACTATTTAGAGTAGGCACTTTATAGTCTTTTTTTTTTAAACCTCCACATTTCATATTAAGGCAGTTAACTTTAACAGAGAGGTTGCTATCAATCTGTGATGCTATGGGCAGTCCACTAAAACCACCGCATCAGCCTAGGGAAGAATGCAAGGACAGAACCCGGGAAAGCTGCTAGTGCAGCCTCCAGCTGTCCGTGCTTTGTGAAGTCCTGGGCATTGGTAATACCCAGGGAGTGTTGCCCACAAGGGACTCTCTTCCAGGCCTTGGTCTCCAGAGTGTTGCTTAGTCATGGTTGAATTGACCACAGGGCTGACCTCAGTTTCCAACCCTTCTGGAGGTCATACTGTTACTATGTGCCCTAAAGCTCCCCACTGTCCCCATCTCAGTGGTAGACCCAAGACCGCAGGCAGACTCTCCAATCAGACATGAGTTTCTAGGGCTTCCAGATGCCTCCCAGAAGACAAGGACAGGGCCTCTCTTGAGGCAGTGTCAAAGTTTTTACTACGTGCATTGGGAAAGGTATGATGTTTCCAGTGGAGTCAAGAGACGTTTCCTCTGCCAACCCGACCTCATTTATCCAGTTAGTAAATCAACATTCAGTGAGCAGCTGTTGTGTTCCAGGTAGTGCTGTGCATGATGGGGCTGCAGCAGTGAGCAAAGCAAGGCCAGTCCCCTCCATTCAGAACCTCAGCAGAATCTGAGAGGGCGGTACTAAGTGAAATACACACCATACATTACATTCTTTTAAAGTAATAAAAAATCTAAATGATTTTTTTTGTTTTTGTATATACAAAGGGACTAATCAGCCGTACTGTTTTATAGTCCTCGTTATTTTTATCATTATACTTAAGTTGAAGAATTTCAATTTAGTTTAATTAGCTAAATTTAACATCAAAACTGGATTAAAGGTAGTAAATCAGCTTTCAGAGTTTATATCAGCACTCTAATTTATACATTCTATAATCTTGATAGAGTGAAATAATCCAGATTATTTTAGTTACTTAGAAAATATTAAAATGCTTTTAAAAAAATTAATTATAACTTTAAATGAAGAGAAACTTCATTTTGAGTTTTGTTTTTATCATATGTATAATTTTATTTTTCTAGGACAAATTCTTCCAGATTCCTGCATCAGAAATCCTACTCAATGATGATCTCCAAAAAAGTATGGACATGATCATGGATATGCTTTGCCCTCCAGGAATAAAAATTGGTAAGTAATCATATTTTAGTCCTATTGTGTTTTTTTTTTTTTTTTTTAAATGGCATGTAGCACGTATCTAATCTTCGAATTTTTAGAAGCGTGGCTGTTTTGAAATCTGACCCCTAATTAGGTTACTGAGTAGTGAGTGATTACCGTATGATCAATTTTTCATTGTTTAGAAGTAGAATAAAGGCAAGCAGTTTTCATCACAGGAACATTTTACACTTGGTTTATGCAGATAGACGTTTTCATATAAATTATATCAATAGAGATGGAATTTTGGCAAGAAATATTTCTGTAAGTGCCATTTAGCCAAATTGATTCCTTAATCATTTTTTTTGTGTGTGTGCTAACTAGTTTCAAGTTTTGCAGGTTTTTATTGATCCATTATTTTCACCAGCTAGTCTTGTTCCTGTACAGTGTAAGTATTTGATATTTCAGCTGTATTTGCCCACTCCTTACTTATCTCCATGGTTAGGTTCCAAAGACCAGGTTATTATATGAAAATCGTCACTATGCACGTGTTGGGACCATGCCTGTGATGCCAGTGTCCCCTCCCTCTGGGTGCTCACCCAGGTGCCCCCAGTGTATCTTTGGATGCACATGACCTGACGGCCCCTCTTTCCCACCATGCCTTCCCACCACCTGCAGAGCTGCAAAAGCCACCGATACCCACCATGATCCAGGTCTCCACCTTCCTGCTCAGCTGGTCCTGGAGCAGCCTCAGAAGCCAGTGATACCCAGGCCTTCTGACTGCTAAGGCTCAGTCACCTGAGCCCAGGAGGCCATGGAGGTGGCAGAGAGACTGCTCAAGAAAAAGAGTCTTCTTTTCCTGGCTGCCTCACCTCCTAGGTGCTGCCCTCTGCCCCCTGCTCATTGCAGGCTCAGTCTGGCTCCTCTGCCTGGGATGGGTGATAAGGACAGACGGTGGCCCTTGCAGCTCCAGGCCTTCTCACTAACCTTGCCTCCTTCCTTCTGCTCCCCTTCTTGCCTTGGCTCCTCATTAATAGGGACAACTATCATCTTAAATGTGATTGGAAGAGATCCATATTTGTGCCCATTCCAAAGAGAGGTCACCCAATGGGATGTGGAAATCATCGGACAATCTCTTTGATATCCCATGCGAGTAAAGTTTTACTAAAGGTAATACAGAAACGGCTATAATTATACATTGATGACAGAGAACTTCCAGAGGTTCAAGCCGGATTCAGAAGAGGCTGTGGAACGAGCAGTATCATTGCTGATTTCCGATAGATCTTGGCTGAAAGCAGAGAATATCAGAAAGATGTTTTACCTGTACTTTATTGACTACGCAAAGGCTTTCAATTGTGTGGATCATGAAAAGCTATGGACAACATTGCGAAGTATGGGTATTCCAGAACACTTAATTATGCTTATGAGGAATCTGTACCTGGACCAAGAAGCAGTTGTTTGAACAGAACATTGGAAACACTGAATGGTTTAAAATTAAAAAAGGTGTGTGACAAGGTTATATTCTTTCACCATACTTATTCAACCTGTATGCTGAGCAGATAATCCAAGAAACTGGGTTCTATGAAGAAAAACGTGGCATCAGGATTGGAGGAAGACTCATTAACAACCTGCGATATGCAGATGATACAACCTTGCTTGCTGAAAGTGAAGAGGACTTAAAACATTTACTGATGAAGATCAAAGAGCACAGCCTTCGCTATAGATTACATCTCAGTGTAAAGAAAATAAATCCTCACCACTGGACCAATAAACAGCATTCTTACCAACGGAGAAAAGATTGAAGTTGTCAAGTACTTCATTCTTCTTGGATCAACTATCAACATTCGTGGAAGCAGCAGTCAAGAAATCAAATGACGTATTACATTAGGCAAATCTGCTGCACAAGAGCTTTTTAAAGTGTTGAAGAGCAAAGATGTCAGCTTAAGGACTAAGGTGCGCCTGACCCAATAACCTCATATGCATGCAAAAGCTGGACAGTGAATAAGAAAGACCCTAGAAAAATTGATGCCTTTGAGTTATGCTGTTGGAGGAGAATATTGAAAGTGTCATGGGCTGCCAAAGAACCAATAGATCCGTTTTGGAAGACGTGCAGCCAGAATGCTCCTTAGAGGCCAAGATGGCCAAACTTAGTCTCTCATACTTTGGACATAATGTCAGGAGGGACAAATTGCTGGAGAAGGGTGTCATGTTTGGTAAGGTGGAGGGAGGGTCAGAGAAAAAGAGGAAGACCCCCAACGAGATGGATTGGCCAAGTGGCAGCATCGATGGTCTCAAGCATGGCAACAGTAGTGAAGTTGGCCCAGGATTGGGCAGTGTTTCATTCTGCTGTGCATAAGGTCACTATGGGTTGGTAACAACTCGATGGTACCTAACAACAACAATCATCTTAAAATGTGTTGGATAATAAGATAGTTGATAAATGATGAGTAGGTAGATCTTCAGGACTCCTGGTGTGGTGACATAGGATAAACACTAAACTGTGAACCACATGGTTAGCAGTTCAAACCCACCAGCTGCTCCTTGGCAACCCTGCACAGGGTCGCTGTGAGTTGGAACAACTCAGTGGCACTTGCCTAAGGTATATTTTCAGTCCCAATTGTACTGACTGCACCTACTGCCCCAGGTTCCTTCCTTCTGTGGCATTACTTCCTTCCAACCATTATTTCTAATTATGTTGAAACTTGCAGATCTAAATTATCTTAAGACAATTTGATTCTTCAAACTCATTTTCATGACTAACAAATCTTACCAGAAATATTGAATAGCGAGATGCTTGATCAGTGAGGAGTAGGTATATTTTCCAATTGTACTGCCACAGTTAGGTCCGTAGTCACTATGTCTATTCATGTTAGAACTTGCAGATCTAAATTATATTAAGATAATTTGATTCTTTTAACAATTGCTCATCATTTTCATCAACTCTTAACAATTGGAACTATAGCTTCTTGTTGATACAACTTGGATCAGTCATTGTTAGTTAGGCTTTCCTTTCATTTAGTTCGTTTTTACGTTTTATAACAATTACAAAAAGAGAGCAATTTTTCTGTTTATCTGTAGCAGAGTTTAACAGTTCTACCTGTATTTGTTGTCAGTTTTAATTTGTGTTGGCTATTGTTTCTGGGAGCAAAAAATATTAGTGAGTGAGGGTTTTTGTTTTGTTTTTTTTTAACTAGTTTCTTATTGCTGAACATTTACCTTGTGTCTAAGCTTTTCAGTATTATGAATGAAGTTTCAAGAGTTCTCTTCACTTTTAACCTAATCATGCTTTCTGAATGGATTTCTGGAAATGAAGCACTGTATCAAAAACCACGGACCTGGTTGTCTTTTGGCACTTACCACCCGGCTGACTTTCAAGAATATTTTACCCATTTATTGTCCTGCCAGAATTGTAGGCGACCTGATCTCACTTCCCTCTTGCCAATATGGAGTACTATATTGAATGTCTCTCAGACCACAATTTGAGGAAACAGGAAGTTTTTTCAAAATTATAAATAGATTTACCATGGTCAAACCAAACCTTGGAATTCCCACCTGTTGCTTCCATCATTGCCTGGGCTCAATACCTGGTACCTGATGGGAACTAAAGATGGGAAAGAATTGATTTGAAGTTCATGTTGTGTTTCTCTACAGTTAATCAAGAAAATACCAGGGGTTCTTTTTTTTGTTTTTGCTTTGTTTTATTTTTAAAAAAAGGAATAAAGTTGAGGATGAGGTAGCATGTGCCTTTAAAATTCTAGAAGTGATCACTTTTGTCTGTTGTTGGGGGTAAAAATCCAAATTATTCACGAGTGCTGCAAACCAGAAATAGAAATCCAGTCTGTATTTGGAAGAGAGGGTAATGATCAGTGTACTTAAGTGCATCTTACTTTTAGATCTAAATTGAATTTATGCTCATTTTTCTAGCTAAGCTATACACTTAGATATGTATATCACAGGTGTGTGTGTAGTTTTAAGGGTGAAATAACTTTTTCTTTTTTATTTGTAGATGCGTATCCATGGCTCGAATGCCTCATCAAATCATACAATGTCACACATGGAACAGAGCAGAAAATTTGCTATCAGCTTTTTGACACAACAGTTGCAGAAGATCTTATCTAATGTTGCCATCCAACGTAGCATGTGTCAGATACTGTGCTTTTGGACAACATTGCTCTTTTCTATGAGATTAATATAAAACAAAAGGTTTAGCTCTCTTATTTATTATGGATATGCAGTATACATTTCCATTATAACCACTGTTTTAATTATTTTTTGACAAGTGGACATTATCTTACTTCCTTCTGATGAGTGTGTTAAAACATATCTGCGGTTCAAGAGCCCCATCATTATGCTGGTTCCCAGGCTATAGAAGGAGAAGAGCAATGTGGATATAGAAAGTATTTTCATTGCTCTCTGCATTCCTTTTACAGTGCAAATTTTTGTTTACTCAGATTTTGTTCACTAAAAGTTGTTTTTCTCCGTTGGATTTTCTGTCTCTGTGCCATTGGTGCCTGTGCTGCCCCTCTTCCCAGCTTGGACTTCCTTTCCTGCGTGGACTTTCCGATCCACAGTGTTGGTGGTTTAATCGTGGGTGTGGGGTTCCCGAATGTGCTCACTTTCAGTCTCAGCTTTTCCTGAGCGCAAGGTACCAAGCTGCTAGTGAGTTTGTTTTGCTTTTGTACAGAGAGAGCTGTTTCAACAAGTACTGCTGACAGAAGTGCTGCATTAAAGAAGCTACCAAGAACTTACCGAGTGACTCGCTTTAAGTGGCAGTGGCGGAGTTCTCTCTGTGGCGGGTGATATCGGTCATTTTAGGGCATCTGAGTGCTGGGATTGCTTGTTTCTCTCCATGCTACTACTCCTTACTCCTTTACCCCTCAGCCTGATAAAGCGGTCAGAGTTAGCACGTTAGTGACTTAATTCACGCTGCTTTGTATTTAATAGTCTTATGTAAAATGCACGTATCTCACAGGTAGAACATGAAGTGAACTGTTAACTCAGTATAATAATCTGCTTTTTTCACCTGACAATGTTTTTTCAATTTAAAACCATGACTGTTCACTTTTATACAGACATTTCTATATATCTGTGTGTATATGTATGTATAGTTGTATTTGTTATTGCCAAACAGATCTGCTTAGTTCAGTATTAGTGAAAAATAAATACAGGTGTTTTCTTTCCTTGTCCCTGGTTGAGCTGAGCACCGTGAAAGGCAGTGAATCCTAGCAGGGGTGTCTGTGGATCTTTCTGTCTGTCTGCATCGCACTAGGCACTTCCCATGTTCCCGCACAACAACCCATTTCTGGATAAGAAAATTGAAGCTTGGTTAATTGGCTAACTTGAGTAAGTCACGTGCTGATCTCTGTCCAGGCCTGCATTATTAACCACTTCAGGCTCTTCTTTGTGACTGGGAGGCTTCGAACTCTGCTGTTGCTGTATGATCCCCACTGATTTCCAAAGCCGGGTTCTCAGAGACTGACATCATGGGCCATTCAAATGACAATGCCCAGCATGAACTGGCAGTTTATTGCCATGGTTTTGTTTCTTTTCTCCTGTAGTTTACAGTCTCCACACAAATACAGAAAACTGTTGAGTGCAATGAGATGAGAATAATAATATTTTGGACTTGTACAAGAGGGCTTAAAAAGTTTGGGAGAAATCCCATTATCTTTTAATTCTGTATTGCCACAGTCTTTTTGAAGCCCCCTCAGACTCGTTCCTAGTCAGTGGACAGGTGATTGCTTGGTTTTCTGAATTATGGACTCCCAAGTCTCAAAGGTAGGAGATGCAGGCAGTGTGGTGGAGGGAGTCAGGAGGTCTGTCCCTAAACACCAGGGGACTGCAAACCTTTTTTGGAAAAATTCCATTATTTTTCATTTCATTTTTCCATGAACTTTTTGAAGCCCCTCATATCTGAAGGAGCAGTAGAACTAGATTATCACAAGAGGCAAGGGTGTTTGTTCTCACACCACCAGAAGGCTTTCATACTGTCAGGAAAAGAAAGGGATGGGATAGCTGAAGTCCTTTCTCCTCAGAACCCTGAATTCTCCTGAGGGCTTCAGCACATTGCTCACCCTAATTCTCGCTCTCCCACCACGGTCTCAATGTGTTTGAGACATTGAGAGGGACTGAGGCCGCTGGGTTGGGGTTATACACTCACTCTTAGTTCAGAACATTTTTCAGGGAACACTATAAACACCCTGTTCAGTTGGACAAATGGGGTTCAGGATGACAGGTTAGGGATACAGAGGTGTGAGGCACTTTCCAGCAACTTCTCTTGAAACTGGGGAAACTCCAAATTTATTTCCAGTGATTCCTCATGAAGATAAGTCATTTCTCTCTCTTGTGTTTTTGTAATGTTTTTGTTGTTGTTAAGTGCCATTGAGTCGATTCCGACCCATAGTGACCCTGTATAGGGTTTCCAAGGAGTAGTTGGTGAGCTTGAACCACCAACCATGCAGTTCAACTGACTTTGCAGCCTGACACATGAGCCCACAGCGTCAAAAAGGCCCTAATGGTCAACACTGGTTTGGTTTAGGTTCCTGCCCCTCCTGCCCCTCCTGCCCCTCCTGCCCACTTGGCAGTTTTGAACACTAAGTAAGTGCTCCCTCAACATCCGGTGTACATCCATGGAAATGTCTGCTGCACCTTACCTAATTGTGCACCTGGGACTTTAGGAGACTTCAGCAAGCAGACATCAGGTTCCCGAGCCCTTGTTCCCTGTGTTTGGGAGGCATGTGACTGAGGCAGCCCAGCTGTATTGTTACAGCATCGCCACTTATTTCCAACGCCTGGTTCTCAGAGACTGAACCGATGGATCATTCTGATCAAAATGCCTATTGTTAGCTGCTAACCAGTTGGCCATGATTTTCACTTGTTTGTTTGCCCCCTTTGCTTCAGTCGCCAAATAAATAGCACTGTATTGAGTGAAATGAGATGAGAAGAGTGATATTTTGGACATTTAGGAGGGGGCTTCAAAAGACTGTGGAAAAATTCCTTTATCTTTTATTTCTGTTTTTTCCACAAACTGTTTAAAGCCCCCTCAGACTAGTTCCTAGTCAGTAGAGAAATGGCTGCCTCGTTTTCTGACGTGCTGCCTCACCAAGGCAGTCTTGCAGGCAGCGTGGTGTGGTGGGAGTGAGGAGGTCTGCTCCCAAAGCCTTCAGAACCAGATAGTTGGTTCTAGTTTCACAGAACAGCAAGGGCCAACTACAGATGATGATTTTCATTGAACTATGTGATTCCTCATGTTAGTGTCTTTTCCTCCCAGTTTCTAGCAATACATACACCACAAATCTTCTCTTGAGCTTTTTTCATTTTTCATATGTTGGGGTTTTTTTTCCCCTCCAGTTAACAGGAACTCAAGAGGGTATGCTGAGAAGTCTGAAACCCCGATTACATCTTAAAGCAGAATTTCTGTTGTTAAGTACTATCGAGTTGTTTCCAACACATTGCGACCTTGTATAGGGTTTCTAAGGAGCAGCTGGTGAGTTTGAACCAGCGACCTTGTAGTTCAAACTGACTTTGCATCCTCTCATGTTTTGTAAAATTTCGTAGACACCAGTTGTTGTTAGGTCCCGACTCATAGTGACCCTGTAGGGTTTCCGAGGCCTTAAATCTTTATGGGAGCAGAAAGCCAGGATTATTCAGAGATTGCCCTTTTGAGTCTTTGACTAGTATTCTCTTTGTGCTACAAATTGACGGTCCCATATCAGGATCTGTGAGTCTATAGTCCCCCTCCCAGTTGTGCTGTAGAAGTTTATCTTTCTAGGTCTAGTATATGTCCAGGGACATGGTGTGGGGATTTCTCCCAACCCCTTTTATAGTCATTACAAACAGTGGTAGATTCTCCCTTTCAGATTGACAGTGATATCAATTTAAGAAAGGAAGGCATTGTACAGCCTCTTCCTCCATCGCCGGTTCCTGCAGCAGTCCTTGTTTCGGCCTCTCCAGGATAGTTGCCTGTGGCCACTTAACTGTTCTGTATGAGGAAGAGATTGCATGTCTTAGAAAGTCTGAAAGCATCAATTGCTCTGTATCTCGATGTGATATGACAACTATGCTGCTCCTAGACTCTTTCTGTGGCCCCCGGCAATTATTTGGTGCATAATTCGAGGGAGTTATACATGCCGCGGTCAGTGCATCGCATCTTTTTGTCCCTGGTCAGGTTGCACACTGGGAGCTGATTCTAAGGGAGTCTAGAAAGACTGAGGATGATGGGATAGAAAAAGCTGAGCGCATCTCTGTCAACTTAGAAAGCAGTTTCCACACAATAGGTCACTGACTGCCCACTTTTCTAGTCACAGACCATGGGAACAGGCCACCGCATCGTTGGCTGCCCACTTCCCAGTTGACCATGCAGTTTCATTTCTGAAGTCGAAGCCAGAATTGGCCTCCAATTGTGACTCTCAGTCCAGCCTCCAGAAGCTGTCCTTGGACTCTGGAAAAAAGCTGCGCTCTTCTGATGACTTTCAGTGTTTTAAATGCTCACCTTCTTAGGTTTCATCAGCTTTTGTTTTTATCCTCCCAGTTATTTTTTTATAACTGATCCTTAAGATTTTTGAAACAGTATAGAATATGCAAAGGTGATCTCACTCTTGCCCTAACCAGTTAAGTTTCCAGACGTTCTCCCCAAGAACATGTGTATATTAGGTGTACAAATACATTTATGAAAACAACTTCATGCTAAAAAAAAAACAGTTCTGTAGCTTCTGTCACTTTATACAATGGGCTTGTGTATTTTTGTTTTGTTTTAAATGTCATTACACATCAAGGGAAAAACTCATTTTTCCATAGTAACCAGCTTAGTTAACTTTTTAGTGGACAATTCTCTGATTATTTCCCTTTCTTAAGTGAGTTCTTTATGTCTGTCTGTATGCTCTTTTTCTCAGTGTATGAGTTTCAAATTTTAACTTTCAGCTAGTACCTTCATGTCTTCCTGACTTTATGATCCTAAAGTTATCCATGACATTCTTTTGTTATTCCTTTGGTCTATATGAGGGAGCTTCAGAAAGTTTGTTTTTCATCCCATTTTTCGTGAACTTTTCGTATTTCATCAGGTGTCATTATCCCTATAAGTAAATGTGGAGCCCCCCGGGGCCTGTCTCTTGGAGGTTTTC